TGCTGGGAATAGAACCCGGGTCGGCTGCGTGCAAGGCAGACGCCCTCCCCGCTGTGCTACTGCTCCAGCCCCTCATCTGACGCTCTTTAGCCCAAAGAGCCCGTGGGAACAATGACAATGTTGGAAGGTCACCGCATAAAAGGATAATATTGTCTTAAACCTTGAAACAGGATATTCACAACCATAAGTACTTCATTTACACAAGTGAATCCCTTCCCTCCTTTTCCTCAGTTCCTCAGCCTGAGACATGACTGTGATGAGGTCTGTGTGTATGGAGATGCCTCCTGAGGCTCAGCTTCAGGAGAACAGTGCTCCTGGGCTGTCCACTCATCTCCAACTTCTTAACAAGTCAACAAGTAGGTCTGGAAGCTGGGAGCCTGTCTTAGCTTCCTTCCTTCCTTCCTTCCTTCCTTCCTTCCTTCCTTCCTTCCTTCCTTCCTCCCTTCCTTCCTTCTCCAAACCCCTTTCCAAATCCTCTTTGCTCCCATGAGAACGTCCTTTCTTTTCCAACCATAGCACATGGGTGTTCTGCTCACAGCTCACTTGCCTCATCCACTCTTGCTCTCCAGTGCTAGAATCTTGATGCCCCAGATGTCCGCAGGATAGGGAAGGCCCTCTCCCAAGGCAATGGCAAAAGCCGACCTTGCAGAAAACAGGAAAAGCAGGAACGAAGACCTGATAAGACCTTGAGCAGCAATGTACCCTGAGGAGATTGGACCCCTCCCCAAGAACAAAATTCCTCGAATACCCTAACATTAGTGATTCAGCCCAAAGAAGACCATCACCACTCCCAACCTCCCTGGTAACCTCCTTCGCAACGGACTTTTACCTAGGAAAAGCCCTTCATGGTTGGAGAAACTCTATAAAGGCCACCTTGATCAAAGGAAGGGCGGGCAGATGCTGCGTGAGCCCATGTGATTGATGTTTGCATGTGGTGCCAAGCACAAGATTACCTTCATGGTCATGTGGCTTGCCTGGGGAGGAAAGGAGCTTATTAGCTCTATGAGGGATAGTTTCAATTTTGAGCCTTGGTGACCGACGTGCAGGGTCATAGCCTCAAGGTTTGAAGCACTGTTTCTTGCTCTTCTGAGAATTCTCTTCTTTTGAGAATTCTGCAGAGAGCAAAAGGAGAACTAGTTTCAGAGCAGAAATCAGATCACAAGCTCCCCTGTAGGGGACCCTTCTGCGATTTCCTGTTAAGTCACAACAAACTGCAGACTTCTTTCAGGCAACTTCTTTCTGTCTTTGACCCACCCTTCCTGCTTTTAGAGAATTCTGGAAACGTCTTTTTTCCACCCCAGTAAGACTCAGAGGCAAATTTCCCACCCCTCCAGGTAGTATCTGTTTCTATTCATGTGTATCTCAATTCAAATCACCTTAGAGGGTCTCCTGTAATCCCCTCCAGCTCAAGCACCTATTCGAGCCAATGGCCTCCCCTTCCCCTTCCTCTCCCCTCTCCTACCTCCTTGTTTTCTCTCCCTCCCTCCCTCCCTCCCTCCCTCCCTTTCTCTTCCTTCCTTCCTTCCTTCCTTCCTTCCTTCCTTCCTTCCTTCCTTCCTTCCTTCCTCCCTTCTTCCCTCCCTCCCTCCCTCTTCCTTCCCTCCCTTCTCCCTCCTTCCTTCTTCCCTCCCTCCTCCCTCCCTCCCTCCCTCCCTCCCTTTCTTTCCCTCCCTTCCTTTCTCTTCCTTCCTTCCTTCCTTCCTTCCTCCCTCCCTCCCTTCTTCCCTCCCTCCCTCCCTCCCTCCCTCCCTCCCTCCCTTTCTTCCTCCCTCCCTCCTTTCCTTTCTCTTCCTTCCTTCCTTCCTTCCTTCCTTCCTTCCTTCCTTCCTTCCTCCCTCCCTCCCTTTCTCCCTTCTTCCCTTCCTTCCTTCCTCCCTTTCTCCCTTCTTCCCTTCCTCCCTTCCTCCCTCCCTCCCTTCTTCCCTCCTTCCCTCCTTTCTCCTCCCTCCCTCCCTCCCTCCCTCCCTCCCTCCCTTTCTTACTTTTTTCCTCCTCCCTCCCTCCCTCCCTCCCTCCCTCCTTCCCTCCTTTCTCCTCCCTCCCTCCCTCCCTCCCTCTCTCCCTTTCTTTCTCCCTCCCTCCCTTCCTTTCCCTTCCTTCCTTCCTTCCTTCCTTCCTTCCTTCCTTCCTTCCTCCCTCCCTTCCTTTCTCCCCTCCCTCCCTTCCTCCCTCACTTCTTCTCTCCCTCCCTCCTTCCTTCCATCCTTCATTCCTTTCTTCCTTTCCCCTCCCCTCCCTCCCTCCCTCCCTCCCTCCCTCCCTCCCTCCCTCCCTCCCTCCTTCCTTCTTTCCTTTATTCATTTACATTGTTAATGTCTGTCTACTCAAGGACATACATTTATAGGTTATGTATTGAAAATTTGGGCTAGAGAGATAGTACAGGGGTTAAGGCGCATGATGTGCTCATGGTCTCCCGAGATTCCATCCCCGGAACCACATATGATCCCCTGAGCCCCAGCCCGAGTGACCCCTAAGCACAACATGGTGTGGCCCTCTCCAAAAAACAAAAGTCTTCAACTCTTAGGCAGAATCACATAATAGATGTCCCATAAATACGCCAATAATCATTCTAGATATAGGAATATGGGCTAAGTGAATCTTGTTTAGAAGTAAACAATTTCTAGAAAATTCCGAAACACTGAAGCAAATGTGTACTTTTCTAAATGTATCTAGCGACCTCTGCTGGAACACTTATGGAGGAACCCAGTTTGGTTTTCCGAACTGCCCTCTTGTTTCATTTACTGACTGCTAAACTGAGCACTGAACGCTGACCTCCTTATTGTTCATCGATTTGCTAGAGCGGGCACCAGTAACGTCTCCATCGCGAGACTTGTTGTTACTGTGTTTGGCGTATCGAATACGCCACAGTGAGCTTGCCAGGCTCTGCTATGCGAATGAGATACTCTCTCCAAGAGGAACAGAAAAATCAAATTCAGGTGGGCCGAGTGCAAGGAAAACACCCTACCCGCTGTGCTATCACGAACTGCTTAAACATTAGTGCAGTGCAAATATGAAATTCAGGACGAGGCGTTTAAAGAGCCTTTCCCCACTTCCCTTACTATCTGTTTATCTTTTCTTTCTGTTCCTAGATTATTAATTTTGTTTTTCAGTGTAGATATTTCAGTAAGAAAGGAAACAGATTTTTTCTGATCCTTCACTCTTAATTCTGTTACATACTAGTTGCCTTTCTTTGCTCACATACAGATATGCATACAAATACACATATGTACTACCAAAAATCTGTAGCATTAAAATAAACAACGAAACAGACCACATAGGCAATCCTCATAATCACTACAACTTAAACCCCGTGGAAGAGTTCAGCTGTATGTATTCCAATTCTTTGTGTATCTAAGCAGAAGTGTGTGTGTGAGTGTGTGTGCTTTCTGACAAAATTGAGACAGTCAATCTTTTTATTTGCTTTAATTTAGCATCTTATATTTTCACCCGCCTAAGCCCACTTTCTCCCCAATTTTTGTATGCAAGTAATTCTTTAAGCAGGTAATAACTGTCCACCGTACAGTATTGAAAATATTAAAGAGGGATCAAGGAGAGAACGAAATTGATTAGAGCGTGTGTCTTGCATGCACTCGGGCCTGAGTCCGATCCCCAGCATTCCATGAACTGACCAGCATTGCTGAGGGTGGCTCTGGTGACCCCTGAGCACTGCTTGGGAGACCAACACATTAGAGAAAAATAAACCTCCATCTTATGCCCGTTCTTTCCTTAGTAATCACTGTAACCAGGGAAGTGGGACATTCAGGCCTGGGAACAAACAAGCATCAAGCACCTCCAGCCTTGGACATAAGGCTAAAATGATCACGTGATTGGCAGAGTGCCAGCTCCTATCGTAGAAGCCTCATGTAAATGACCTCATCATCATTTGATTTTTAAATTATTTTGATAATTGGTTTGGGGAGTGCTCGGGGCTTGTCCTAGCTCTGTGCTCAGGGAGCACTCCTGAAAGGGCTCAGTGGACCCTCTGGGGTGCTGGGGATGGAGCCTGGATCAGCCACGTGCAAGGCAAGTGCCCTTTCTACAGTGCTCTCTCCCGCCTCTCACCACCATTTTAATAAGAAAGTCAAAATGTAGTTGATTTAGTCTTGAGGTTACATAACAGGTAAGCTGCAGATCGAACTTGACCCCAGGAAAAACTAACACCCAACTAAGCCCGCAGTGCCCGGTGTGGACCAGGAGGGTCTCTGGATAACGTGACTGGCCATCACCAGGCGTGTTCAGAGCTCGTCGGAACAGACAGTGAAAACGTGAAGCTGTGTTCTCAGCCTGTCATTCCATCTTCACAAGTCAACACGTCCTGTTTGGTTTTGTTGGAATTTCTATTTGCAGGACTCACGGAGGTTATGTCAACAGGAACAAACCTTTTGGTGAAGGAGAAAGTCACTTCAGGGGTGTTCTGGGCTCTGATCTTTACTATTTTAGTGCTTGTCCATATCCCTTTTCTCAGCTCTGCAACAAATGAGAAATGAACTGTGTGCCTGCGTTTACTTGCTGTTTTGTTGGTTTGTACTGTGGGGGCCACACCTGGTGTGCTCAGGGCTTACTCCTGGCTCTGTGCTCAGGGGACTGTGTGTGGTACTGGGGATGGAGCAAAGGTTGGCCACATGCAAGATAAGTAAGTGCCCTAGCCCAGTTCTATCTCTCTGGTCTCTGCAGTGACTTCTATGGACCAAGAGCCAAACACAGCATGGAACCACAAGACTCATTTATACTAGCCCGTCTGCAAATAAAAAATAAAATAACTAAAAATCATTTTTAAAACATTCCAGATAAAGGGATTAAAAGAGCAGAAGGAAACTTAGGCCAAGCAGAAGGAGCTAAGTGTGGAAATCTGCCCCATGAATTCTACTGGCAATGTCAAGTGGTCTATAACCTCTGAGAAGGGCTCAACCGGAATCATTTGGGGACTGATGAAGCAAACATGAGTGACTGACTCTAGCAATTTGGTCAAAAGGACAAGGGTTAAAGGTCGGGCACTCAGCCTATGAGGATTCTACTAGCGGAGGGGGTGCTGGCCCAACCCGCATCGAAGCATTTACTCCGGGCTGGGCTGTGTGGGGACACAGTGGCCGAGAGTGTCCTAACTAGACCTGTCGGAGCTCTGAGGAGCCGAGAATTCCCTGGCCGACACCCTTTCTCTGACAGAACCCAACCTTTCCCACCTGGCCAGCGCCTGCTCTATTGCCTGGAGCAGGTCCTGCTTGGGAACGGGGGCCACTGGGTCTTGGCGCCTCCAGCATCCTGAGACTGACTCCTGGGACCATCCAGAGCTCCGGACACTATGCTCCGAGGACGCTCCCTCTCCGTGACGTCCCTGGGCGGCCTGCCCCGCTGGGAAGTCGAGGAGCTCCCCGTGGAGGATTTACTGCTCTTCGAGGTCTCCTGGGAAGTGACCAATAAAGGTTTGTGCTGCGCCCACCCAGCCCGGGAGATTCCCCAGAAAACTCCCTAGTGCTGGGAGCGGCTCGGGGCTGGGGGACACGTCGGCTGGAAATGAATTGAAATGTAGGTTGGGCCAAACTTTGTCTGCTTCCACAGGCTAGAACAGATGTGCGCTTTGGAAGGGAAGAAGATGGCAAAAACTGGTCGTTGGGGCTGGAGAGAAAGGATGGGGAGGAAGGGCAGACCCTGGTCTGGTCTCCAGCACCGCATGGTCCCTTGAGCAGCGTCAGGTGTAACTGTGGAGTCCCCCAAGGGTCACAGGCTGTGGCCTTACAGGAGACGTTGAGTACCGTTGAAGTGGCCTTGCTTCAAGCCGATTGTGGCTCTGGACAGAACATTAAAATAAAATTTGAAATATGAGTGATGGTACAGTAGGAATAAAGTAATTATTTTTCGTAGTCAAAAAACCAAAAAGCACTTTTTGGGTTGTTGTTTTTCGGCCATGCCTTGTTGTGCTAAGGGACAAATCCTGGCTCTGCGCTCAGGAATTCCTCCTGAAGGGCTCTGGGGACCACATGGGATGTGGGGGGATTGAACCCAGGTGGGCTGCCTTCAAGGCAAGATCCTTACCTGTTGTACTCTTCTCTCCATTCCCCTCCAAAAGCATCATTTTGTAACTTTGTTTTAGGTAGACACATTCCTGATCAGGACCCATACGAAATTTTGACTTCCGATACTGTTAGCGTATCATGAAGGGTTTTTTTTTTTGCTTTTTGGGTCACACCCGGCAATGCACAGGGGTTATTCCTGGCTCTGGAACCACTCCTGGTGGTGCTCGGGGGACCATATGGGATGCTGGGAATCGAACCCGGGTTGGCTGCATGCAAGGCAAACGCCCTACCCGCTGTGCTATCGCTCCAGCCCCTCATGAAGTATTTTCATGCTTCTCAAGAGTTCAAGCTTTGCTCGGAGTCCAAGTGTTAGCAGGCAAGGAAGAAGCATGAGGAACAGAGCCTGGAGCGTGGAGAAGTGACATAGCTTACAAACAGCAGCTTCCATGTGCTTTCCCTACACATGCAGTGCCTAAATGCGCCCAGCGGGAACCGAGCTCCCTCGAAGACACATCGTCCCTGACCGAGATGATGCGAAGGGAGGATTTTGCCTGCACAGCGGGAGAAACTTAAGAACAGCTAGTTAGTGGGGGGGAATGGCGTGGGTGAGAGGTGATCACCAGTGACAGCAGGCCATCATCGAATCCCAAATGCTGTGTTGAGTTCCAGCACCTGAGCAGAGCCCTTCTGTCCTCTACTTAGCAAACATGGGCGGAGCATTGTGCCCTGGTGCAGGGAGCACCTGTGACCTCCAAGTGCCGTGCCAGGGATCACACAGAGGGTGACACACACATGTGACTCGCAGGAGCCTGGACCGGTGCCTGGTATGCAGGGAAAGTTTCGTGGAGGTTTGAAAGTTTGAATGGAGGAATTCCTGTTTCTTTATTTTTGATACTTATGTTCTTTCATTTCCTATGCAAGGGAAAAGGAGATTTGGGGGAGTCAGAGATCCCAGTGTCGTTTACAGAAGTTGACGTAATTGCGAATGTACTGGTTGTATCATGCATAGGGATGAGGATTTTTTGTTTGTTTTTTCAAGAACAAGACTTCATTGAAAGGGGCTTTTACTGGGTCAAAAGAGAGGCAACGTCTTCCTTTGGCTGGCGGAGGGTGGTAAGGCAAACACATTAACACCTGAACTGTCTCTCGGGCCCTTGATCACAGGTTTCTGGCCACCTAAGAACAGAGCCTATAGTTCTGAGCATTTATCAGAGCCTATAGTTCTGAGCATTTATCTGACACACAAAACCAAGTTAACATGTGTATTGGTAGAAACTGCCGTGTAGTTTTTTATTTATTTATTTATTTATTTTGCTTTTTGGGTCACACCCTATGATATACTATGATATACAGGGGTTACTCCTGACTCTGCACTCAGGATCACTCCTGGCGGTGCTCAGGGGACCACATGGGATGCTGGGAATTGAACCCGGGTCGGAAGCGTGCAAGGCAAATGCCCTACTAGCTGTGCTATCTCTCCAGCTCCCTGCCATGTCGTTTTGATAAAAGGAATATGTAATTATCCTTGACACAAAATCATTTCAGGTTAGATCTGATTTTACGATCAAACGAGGTTTAAAAAATTCAACATTAATAAGTTTTTGAATTTTATAAATGTGGAAAAAAGATTTTGTGTGCATTCAATATTCTGTGGCGTGGACTTTCTTACCACGGGCCTTCTATGACCATGAGTCATGTCCCCACCCCGGCCTGCAGCCGCCGCCAATAGACACATGGAGAGCCTCCAGTTTGGTTGCTGATCAGTCCCCTTTATTCCAATCTCCATCCCGCTGTTCATTCTGTCTCACCGTGCTCCCCGTTCCAGCCTCACACTGCCCCTCATTCCTGAGGATTCTACTATCGGCGGGGGGGATTCTACTATAACACTGTCCCTCATTCCTGTCTTCTACTTTCCCCCAGGCTAGTCTCCCCGAGCCCAGTCTCCCAAGGTAGCAACTTAGTCAAGAGCCAGCCTTAGTCAAGAGCCCAATCTCCCAAGGTAGCAACTACTGTAGCACTGAAGCACTGTCCTCCTGTTGTTCATTGATTTGCTCGAGCGGGCACCAGTAACGTCTCCATTGTGAGACTTGTTACTGTGTTTGGCATGTCGGATACGTCATGGTTAGCTTGCCAGGCTTTGCCGAGCGTGCGGGCAAGATACTCTCCATAGATTGCCGGGCTCTCCTAGAGGGGTGGTCTAGGTCAGGTCAGCTGTGTGCAAGGTAAGTACCCTACCTGCTGTGCTATTGCTCCCGCCCTGTGGTAGCAACCACACCCAGGTAAAATAGCACAATCAACGTATGAAAGCCCTTCCTTTCCTTCCAGGGAGGCTCTTTTAAAACAAAGATCTCCTGCTAACAATAGCCAGAAACTGGAAGAAACCTGAGTGCCCAAGAACAGATGACTGGTTAAAGAAACTTTGGTACATCTACACAATGGAGTACTATGTAGCTCTTAGAAAAGATGAAGTCATGAACTTTACATACAAGTGGTACAATATGGAAAGTATCATGCTAAGCGAAATGAGTCAGAAAGAGAGGGATAGACATAGAAAGATTGCATTCATCTGGGGGATATAAAGTAACAAAGTATGAGATCAATACCCAAGAATAGCTGAGATCAGCACCAGGAGGATTACTCCATAACTTAGAGGCCAGCCGGGTATCCTAGAGGAAAGGGCAGTTCAGATAGAGAAGGGAGCACCAAATAAAGGATGTTTGGAGGATCCTCCCAGGAGGGGAGATGCATGTCGAAAGTAGACTATGGACTGAACATGTTTGCCACTCAATGCCTCTTTTACAGACCACAACACCCAAAAGGAGAGAGAGAACAGAGGGGATTGCCCTGCCACAGAGACAGGGGGGATGGGGGGATGGGGGTGGGAGGGATATTATCCATGGTGGTGGAAAATGGGCACTGGTGGAGGGATGGGTATCTGATCATTGTATAATTGAAACCCAAGCACAAAAAATTGTAAATCTACAACTTTAAAAAAAATAAAATACAATAAAGGGAAAAAAAAAAAAAGATCTCCTGCTAGGAGATCTGCTTACGGGCAGAATTTCATCTAAGGACTTACTTCTTCTTTCCTTAGTCCGTAACAATCATCTTAAATTTACTTCTTAATAATCTTTCTAGTCATTTTGTATAGACACGTAGAAGGTATATTAATTTTACAGAGTGGCTCTCCTGGGGTCATCTTGTTATAGATTTCAGACTACAGTCCTCAGGCCAGATGAGCCCTTCCTAACCCTAGCAGGGTCCTTCTCCAATCACTTCTCTTAGGGTCATGGCAGAATTCATCCACAACCGTGATCTTAGCTTATTATAAGTTTCATGGCACTTGACCTGTCCCATTTCGATGCCAGGGTAGCTTGCAGCTTGCCCTGGGTCCATCCAGTCCCTTTGTTGGGACCCTTCTTTGGGGGTTCTAGGAACTAAGGGCAACTGAGGCTTACGTCGAGTAAATATGACAGATCCCAGGAGTAAATATTATTCGGAGTCAATTAACTTCAAGTTACAAAAGCAGATCATTAACTGTCTCCCTGTGTCTGTATGAAAAGGACAGTGTTCTAAAGTAAACTGTACAAAGGACATAAGGGAAAGAGAAAAGCAATATTTCACTTACAAATTACAAATCCAGAGATTTCTGAAGAATTTGACTTTGACAAGTCACAGGTTCTGATGAGGGGAAATGAGTGATTAACAGATAAGGGAAGCAGAGCACAAAGGAGAAGTTAAAGATGAACGCAGAGGAATGGGAGTGTCTTGGGAGCACTGTGATTGGTGTAATCCAATAAACCCAAGTTCCCTGTAGCAATGGAGAAAGGACAAACCAATGTTATCCTACAATTTTGAGATGTTGCAAATGCTGTGTAAGACCATAAAGTCAAAAAAGCTCAGTATTTACAATTGTAAAACTAGGGTTTTGATCCTATCCTTGATTGTGTTACCCTGACCTAGGTCCTACAATGATTTGCACCACAATCTTTAATATTCATGGAAATTTTTCTGTATTTATCTGAGAGCTGACTAAAATGCAAACAACAAACAGTATGCCCCAGACACGTCTACATATCGACGCATTTAATTTTCAATGACAACCCCCAGCTAAGAGCTTCGATTCCACTGTTCTCTTCGATTCCACTGTTCTTCCTGCATTAACATATGCCTCAGAGACCTGGGCCCTATGAAAACAGTGTGAGAATGCTATTTGGGTCTCTCAAAGAGGAATTGAAAGAGCTATGCTTGGAATATCTCAATTCACTCAAATGAGAGAGAGAATCCGGAGTTCTGATTTCCGTCAACGCTCAAGAATCAGGGACGCTGTCTCATTTGCCTAGGCATCAAAAATCAGATGGGCTGGACATGTAATGAGGTTTACAGACAACCGCTGGACTAGAGCCATT